TTATAAAAGAATATGTAGATAAAAAAAGTGTCGATATATGCCTTCATTTTTCTTAATAGTTAAAGTTAAAACTGAACTTTTTAAAATAAAGTATTTATCGTGTCATTTTCACCAACTAGCAAAACATTTTTATAAGTTCAAAATGGTATTTTTTTTAATATAATAACCAAGAAAGTTTTTTTTGAACTATGTTTATGAACGGAAATAATGTGTTAATTACGTAAAGTTTGAAGGCTAATAACCAGAAAAAGTCTAACTTATTTTTACAAAGAGAAAGATGCAAAGTTATCATATCTTTGCTTGCGATCTCCGAAATCTGTGGACACAGTGACGTCATGAGGAGGGAAATCGTAGCTTCAGCTCTAAGAGCGGAGTGAACTAGCCCTTCTATTCTCTTTAGCCCTGGCATCCTCTGCCTTAAGTCTCTTGATTTCAAGCAGGCGTGTTGACATTGGCATGGTAGATGTAACAGCTACAAATTTTTGTCTTATTTACCAGAATTGTGTTTTTTTGACGAGAAATGTCCTTACATCCAGTACGGTAATTTAACCAGAATGCTTTCTTTGGAGCATAATTAATAAAATTTTAATGCATAAATTGTCTTGTGCAGGTGGCAGTTGTCGCTGCTGAGAATGCAAAACAACGGCCCACCAGGAGACCCATAAAGAGATGCAATAACGGAGATGATTGTGAAGAGGACGAATGCTGTGTGGGAGTCATGTTCTTAAAAGGCAGCTGCCGCAAACTTGCTGGGGAAGGTGATATATACCTATTTTTAAATCTCAAATTATGATTTAATCATTTTAAGATTATTGTGAAGCATTACGTTAGAATCGATTGAATAACTTCTTGAAGGACGATATGAATACACTGTTAGAAATTTCTCGGGAATAAAAGTTGAACAACAATTTATTAAATTTATTTTATTCTACCATATTCAAACAATGAAGTCAAACAACCATAAATAAGATGGTATTCAAACTGTTTACTGTCAGACTAACTGTTTCAAAATATTAACTGCATTTACCTAATACGGTAAAACATCCGGAATTTTACAGCACAAACTATAGTCCCACCTAAGGAAGCCACTTAATTCCTTATAGAAAGGTACATATAAAACCGAAATTGCTAATCTGTCAATCTCATGACTGGCAGAACGGGGGGTCAAGTCCCAGTTTTGAAACCACACTATTTTTCCCATTCTGTTCAACAGATGAAGAATTTCCAGTGTCCTGCAATCAGCAATATGTGACTATGGCCTATTAGAATACGATATTCTCATTTACCCATAGATGGCAGCACCGTAAATCTGCTAAATTATCTCCATTGTCCCGTTGAATTTTTTTTTTACCCAATTGAAACTATGGTAGTTGTAAATGTTTAATATTTCATGATAGTTGTAAACTGTTTTAAAGCCTTTAAGGTAAAAAATGTTCTTTTCCGTAAACTTTAGGGTTAATTGGATGGACAGACTGCTGCCGGTAATTTTAAATAATTTTGGTAAGAAAATTCTAGCAGTGTATTATAATATGGTAAAGCTATTAAATTGTTCTTTTCGAAAAAAGTAAAAAAAGTATTATTAAGAATACAAATAGAGAAATATGAATCTACCAGCTTCCCTTTTCTGCTATTTCACCCAAACTTTTCATAAAGTTCTCCGAAAGTCGGATAAATAAACCATCTTAAGTAATAGAACACTAATTGAAGCATTAGAACTCTATTTCTGGAATTAATAACTAGCATGATTGTTTAAACATTTACTCTTAGTATAAAACTCATTTTACTTATTTTTTCGTGCAAATGCTACATTAAATGATAGCTAATTAATTAAAAATAAAACTTTTTAAAACTTTGGTTTCGCCGGAATTATTCAATCGATTTCACTTAAATTTTGTATATATACACAGAAGAGCCATTACATTATGACCACCCTGCTAATAACATGTAGGACCACCTTTAGCCATCAAAACTGCTAGCACCCGCAGTGGCATTGATTCCACAAGGTGCTGATAGGTAGTCTGAGGTATCTGGTACCAAGTGCTCACTAACTGATGCTACAATTCCGCCACATTGCGAGGGTGTAGCGTGGCAGCACAAATTTGGTTTTCCAAGTAGGACCACAAATACTCTATTGGATTAAGGTCAGGTAAATTTGGGGGCCGAGACATGACTTGAAAGTCACTGGAATGTTCCTCGAACCAATCCATGACGATTCGACCCTTATGACATGGTGCATTATCCTGTTGGTAAACACCATCCCTCGTAGGAAAAACTGTTGCCACGAATGGGTGAACCTGATCTGCAACTATGTTCAAGTAGCGTCCAGACGTCAGGGATACTTAGAAGAGGCTTCTATGAGGATTATGGATCCTAATGTGCCCCATGAAAACATTGCTCCTGGGCGAGAAACCATGAAAACCTGGGCGAGCCCATTCTTATAGATGGAGGCTGGTCATGATGTAATGGCTCTTCGGTGTATATATGCATGAAGAATTTAATAGTTAACTTAATATTTATGAATCATTCTATTAAATAATTTGAATTTTTTAATTTTAAAATTTTGTCTATAATTTTTACAACTTCTTTGTTAATGTCTCATTAACTAGGAAAGCGATGCAATGGTGATGAGGTTGATATTAGGGGAAAATATTTAGTCCGATGTCCTTGCGCTGAAGGCTTCAAATGTGTTCCTGAGAAAGTAGAAGAGACTATTGTAAGTAAATGAACTTTGCAACTTGGAATAACTCTTAATAATTAGTTACATATTGCATATTATTATTAATTATATACTCACCTGCATACAACTAGTTTTTTAACTAACAATATTTTTATCTAACATAGCTCTTTCTCGTTGTTTTTCATAATTACATTTAAGATTTTTTATACTTTTTTTCCCTCTCTCAACTAATCATAATCTGTTTTTATAAATATAATTAAGATTTTTTCAAATAGTAAAATAAATTATCTGTGGTATCTGCATAGCAAATATATTATTACACTGGTTAGGAAAAAGTAAGCTAGTTGAAGTAAAACAGTCCTTTTATGCTAAATAAAAATATATTCAAATTTTTTTAGAAGAAATTAAAATACATCTTTAGAATCCAAAGTTAACGCTTTTCAACTTAGAATTTCTTAGAACACAAAATTTTGTCTTTTCAATTTAGAATTTCATAGAACACAGGATTTAGTGTTTACAATTTAGGATTTCTTAGAATAACATTAGTATGAAAATATTTTACTACGTTATGGTATGCTCAATCCATTGTGTTGACGTGTTTCCTAAATTCAATATAAAAGTTGTTTAATCATTGAATAGATTAGAAAACCACCCCGTTATTGTTCCAGTGATAACTTTTCAGAAAAAAAATTACGCTTGTATAAAATATTATAAAAACCGTCCAAAAAAGAGCTTGAAATATTTGCTATTATTAATTAAAAATATAGAGAAAACATGGAAAATAAAGATTAATGAAAAGAGAAGAAAAATTATTAAAATAAAGTATTTAAAATTATCTATCTATCTATATCTATATATATATACTAAAAAGTCAGGGGGAAAAGGTAAATATATAATCTCCTCATCAACTCACACGATTATATCCGCAAAAGGTGCTTATCAATATAACCAAAGCAAAATAGATCAATACATTAGTAGAGCACTAGAGAAAATTTAAGCAAAATAAAACACATTAAGTAAAAATATATCACGTAAAAAACAGGAAATAAAAAGAAAAAACAAAACAAAACACAAAACGAAATCTATAGAGCGAGTAGAGAGTTCAAATGAATTTACATAAACTTGAAATTTTCAAGAATAATTCAAAATATTTTGGTAATTAGATTGCCAGATTACAAAATATAAAAACAGAAGCGCAAAGGGAGCTAAAAGCGTAAATGGAGGGAATTTTTCTTTATGGTGCAAATCTGACTGCTAAAGAGCGTTTAATTTGCTATTTACTAAGAATTGTCCCTAAAATGGATGTGAGAATGGTAACAATATACTGGATAATTTAAAGAATTTCATAATTAATAAGTTAGATATTTAATTATACAATCTTCATGATTTTAGAAAATTAACATTCATTTGAAAAAGAGAGAGAGAAACATGATTTGCCCGTTTTTCACAGATTTTAAGCAATGAATTTGTCCGAATTTGATTTGCCCATGGTAGAAATATAAATTAACAAAGAAGTTTTTAGTAAATTTATTAATAATAACCTACAATTAACTCAATGATTTTATATAGAATTTAATTACTTTAGTTAGGCATTCATTGTTTTTTTATTATAAAATTTTGAAAGATTGTGTCTATTTGTTTTTTGGATAAATAAGCATTGCTACATATTCTTTTAATTCTATTTATATGATTAAAAATCATATTTAATGAGATGTTTTTAGAAACAGTAGAATTTCAAATAATTAGTTTGTTTATATTAAAATTAAAATCGTTTCTTTTATCATATAAATCAACAAAGTAGATATTTTCTTCTTTTCTGATATCCAAATCCAAAAATTAAAATTAATATCATGATTGTGATTACGAAGCAAGATTAATTCCTCCGAGAAAATATTATTTAATAAATCGACATTTACTTTGCTTTGACGATATTGTTATAATATTAGAAAGCACTCCCTTTTACGGATATAATCGTGTGAGCTGATGCAGAAATTATATATTTTCCTTTTTTTTTTTGTTTTCGGGCTTTTTACTTCATATTTTAATTTTTTTAAAAATATTTTTGATTAATAACTTTTCATTAATCTTTAACATTTTCCATGTTTTCTCTATATTTTTAAATTATTTTATGAGTTCTGTATGCTTGCAGCTTATGCACAGTAAATAAAACTTATTAATTTTCTTAATTTTCTTCGTTTTTCTCTTGAGAGCATGGTATTTTTTAGAAATTATTTTTCTTGATCATTGTTGGTCGTAAACTCAGAATAGTGTCAGTTGTTCGATGCTGGTTGTAAAATAAAATAAATGAGTGTTTGCTTTTCATATTTGAATGAAATCTGCATGATAATAATTTTTTTCTTGGTGAAGCTGATTTTTTCTTTCATTTCAGTTCGGTAAAGTCAGAATAAATGAAAGATGTACAGCAGGTGCTTCACCTTCTCCTCAACCTGAAATTACTACGAATGGACAAGTCTCCAGAGAAACAGTTGAAGAACAATCCACCGCAGAACCAGAGGTGGAACTATCCACCGCAATTCCAGAGGAAGAATAAATATCAATTGGTACCGGAGGACTAAGAAATTAGATAAAGAATGAGAAACAGAACATGTCAAGATTTGGAATGTACGAACTTGTGACAGCTGTTTCCAAAAATAAAGCATAACGTATTTACGAAAAAAAAATACTTCCTATATTGTTCAATTATTCCATGAAAATCATAAAATGTAGCCGTATTATTCAAAGTCATAGATAAAGTTAAATTTGCTGGTAATATATATATATTAGTAAATGCGTGTAAATTTTGTAGCAAACGGGAGAAAAAGATAGCAAAATCACAGTTCACTGTAAAGATCAGAAAAAGAGAGAGGCATTTGGGGCAATGAGTTTCGCAAGAGTTGAATTAACTGTAGAAGGATTTATTTTAAATCACGTTGGATGTTAGCAAGGTCACATTGGAAAAGTATGTGGTAAATGCCCAAGCGATATTAAAAACTTATAGGATCTTTAAGAGACTTGAAATTAGATTTGCTAACAGGGCTAAAAATAAGTTTAAAACTAAAATGAAAGAGAATATTAGCAATTCTGTAGCAAACGGGAGAAAAAGATAGCAAAATAACAGTTCACTGTAAAGATCAGAAAAAGAGAGAGGCATTTGGGGCAATGAGCTTCGCAAGAGTTGAATTAACTGTAGAAGGGTTAAATGCATTGTTAACAGAAAGCAGAAAACGAGCAGAGTAAAGTTAGAAGTTCAAAGTAGAAGAGTTAGAGCAAAGGTTAAGCGTATGGAAAACGAAAGTGTGAAATTTTTGGACTATTAGGCCATTAAAATTATCATGAGGGGGCAAGGAGGCAGCAAACTATTTACGATAGACAAATGTGGGAAAGTAATCAGGGTGTTTAGTGGCAAGAACATCTTAAAAAGATTAAGTAAAATTGATTTTCGCATCGAAAGCAATTTTGAGGTCAACCGGTAGACAACAAGAAAGTAACGCTTTGAAAATCTGTATCTTTGTCTTGCAAGATAAACATATTATCAACATGTCTTTTCCACCTTGAGGGTTTGAACATTTTGAAAACTTTTTCATAGAAATAATGTATAAATAAGTTACAAGGAATTGGGGGAAAAAGGTGGTTGCCCTCTAGAGTAGGTCGAAATAAATGTGGTTTGAAATTTCGAAGCACTTCAATGTTGGGTTCTAAGGCTTACTGCATCGATAAGGTTCATAGAAGACTTAAGATATACTTTCATAGAATACAATAAACTATTAAATTGGAAGAATTATTTTTAAATGTGAACCAAAAATTGTTATAACATTACTAAATAAATAATATAATAAATCCACATTCTTGACAATTCCATACATTAACTTGTAAAATGGATTTTTGATGAGTCAATTAAAATTTTGCTCGAGATAAAACGTACAATATTATTCGACAACTATCTCAGTCTTGCACTGTTAGAAATTTCTCTGAAAAAAATGGTTAAACAACAATTTATTTAATTGTTATTCTACCATATTCGAATACAACAGTCAAATAACAATAGGTAAGATGGTATTCAAACTATTAACTGTGAAAAAAACCGTTTATCCCTGCTTCCTCCTAACACGCTTAAACAAGTAGATTTTTATTGCACCAATTACGCCCACCTACTGTAGCTACATATTTCTTTGCAGCTATTCACATTATAGCCCAGAAAGCTTATCTGTTAATCTCATGACCGATAAAACGGGGGTTGGAGCATCAGGGTGGACACCACAATATTCTTTTCAACACAAGAAGAGTTTTCATTTTTCTCAACACTTTCCTATTTGTGACCTTGGACTATCAGAATGCAATGGTCTCAATTACGCCTAGATGGCAGAACCATAGGGCTGTTTGACATAATGGTTGAACATCGTTGTTAACATAAAAGTCTAGTATTTACCAAATACGATACGAAGTCTAGTATTCACCAACTCTTACGATAGGTTAAACAACTAAAGAAACTAATTAAAGTACATTCCACGGTTCACTTGATAAAACACAACTCAAACACAACCTGATTGTAATACCAGTTACCCGACGAAAAGTCTATCTCCAATGTCCAGTTAAATTTCTTTTTTTATGTTTTTGAAACCATGGTAAATAAAAATAGTTAAAAAACCGTATAATTCTGGTTTATTCACGGTTTTCTAACCATATTAGTTGCAAATAGTTTCAAAACCGTAAAGGTTGAAAAATATTCTTTACGGTTAATTGGATTGACAAACTGCAGTCAATTATTTTACCGCAATTTTAGAATAAAAACTCTAGGACTGTGCATTTGATTCATCATTTAACTAAATATGAAAGCAAGTACTCCAAAATGATGAATTTCAGGAATTATTTTTTTAATCAGTTTTTTTATAATTTATATTTTATTTTAAATAAGCATTATTATAAACATATATTTATATAAAAAATAAAGGAGTACTAAAAAAATAAGAGTATTATAGCAGCTGTTAACAAAAATGACTCAGCAACAGAAACAATGAAGCGTTTACTTTTTTGGTTAATAACGATTGCCATACTTTATGGGATACACAGCCAACTGACATTTTCTAAATTACCGGAAAACAAAAATATAGCTTAATTAAATAAAATTTATTTGAAATTGTTTTCCCGTAATTTCAAGAATAAAAACTATGTATTCCTTGTTAACTAATTATTTTTTCGAAACATAGCAATTAAAGAGATTGATCGCTGTTATTCTTCACTAAACACCTCGGAAGGAGAAAAAAAAATTGTGTTCCTTAAATTCACTAATTACAGAGCTACGTGTCCTATAAAATGTTCGGAAGCACCAAACGAGCTTATTTTCAAGTCTCCTACTGGAAAAATGGAAAATCGAAGAGCAGTATTAGTTCTCGTATTCTTTTCCATGTATTTGGTAAGTGTTTAAAAAAAATTTTTATTAAAGAAATTATTAAAAAAAAAAATTAGTTAGCTTCCACGACCGTAAGCTCACTATATTTTATTTTCTAAAGCATATTTAATTGATTTAAAATGATATTTTATTGAAATGATATTTAAAAACAAAAAAAAAGATAGGGTATACTTTTTGTTAGTTAGAATAAAGTAAAAAAGACATAAATAAAACCCGAACAAAGAAGAGATAGATCTGCTTCGGTTCTAAAATACAAAAGTTTCTGTTCTAAAATACAAAAATCTTTCTCAGTGTCTAATTGCCATTTTTTTTCCTTTTGAGTTTAGATTTTGCAAAGAAATATTTGCTAGACATTAATATTTAGTCGCTTTAGAACCAATATTTGTCAGAAATATATTTGGTAGGATCTTTAATTTATTAGTTTTACTCGATAATAATAATAACAATAATACAATAATAACTATTATAATAATAATAATATTATACGAATTGAGTGATGGCTCAATTGCATGTTAATGCAAGGATTTACTTTAATCAATATTAATGCTGATAAAAAAGTCTGAAATAAACTGAATATTTAATTTCTTTTAAGAAAATATCAGTTTGCTAGGATCGCATCTGGGCTACAACTGAGTTAAACAAAATATAATGTTACAATATTTAAAATTTTCGTGGTTACAAGTAATGACATTTTATTATATTAACTGCAAAATTGACTATGAGTAACTGTTATGTACAATTATGATTTAAATTGCAATTATGAATCCATTTCGAGTAAAAATAATGAGTACATTGATCTTTATTACATGCACTTTTGTGTACAACTCAAAGTAAATTTTATTACATCTACATTTGAATATGAATAGATGCAGAGTTAGGAAACCATTTCAATGCTCGCTATCAGGATTAAAAGCAATCATAATTTCTGATTCCAGTTTTAATAATAAATATAAGTAGCTTCATTTATGATTACGTTTAATAACGATTTACTATTTTAATAATTTTATAATTTGAAGTACAACTGTTTTACTTTTGAATTACAAGTAATTTCAGAGTTGAGGAATCTTTCCTAATAGATAAAACACATTTTTAGAATAAAAAATACATTTAATCTATTGCCTGCAGATTAGATTTATTACATAGGCGAATGTATATAGTATCATATATAAAGTTGCTATAACAACTTTCACTATATGATATTGTTATGTATAGTTATTTTAAATTACAATATCATATAGTGAAAGTTGTTATAGCAACTTTATATATGATACTATATACATTATACTAACTATACTACGATACTATATACTAACGCATCTGCACATAGCTGTTACAACAATCTTAAAATAACTATATCTAATCTTCATTATTATTATGTATATAGTTATTAAGCAGTTATACAATATCCTTATTTAATAATAATTTATTTGAATTATTAACTATTATTGTATATTTATGAGCCAAAGTATATAATTTGAGTATGAAATAAATAAAACGATAAATAACACCATATGTTTCATAAGGGTCATTTCTCAGAAATCATAACATAGTTATTATTTTTGGATGAACTATATTTCATTTTAATTGAAGCAACCTCCTCAGTCTATCATCCGAGCAGGATTATAATAAAATTTCTTCCTCTTTTAGAATCCGCTTTTCAATTTAAATTATTTATTCTCAATTTAAAAATTCTAAAAATTTCTATACAAATTTAAAAATAAAATTTCTTTGTCTATACCTTGTCTTAATGGCTTAGGTGTATGCATCTATGCACACACTGTCACAAAACCGTAAAAAAAAAGAAAAGATTCCACTTTTTTGTGCATATGGTGCTGCTATCTATGCGTGAGTGAAAGTATTCTAGTCTAATAATCCAGAGTCACAAATTGGGAAGTGCAGGTCACCGGAAACTCTTCAGGTGCAGAAAGGAATGGAGGAAATATTGTGGTGTCAAAGCTGGGACATGAACTCCCATTCTGTAGGTCTTGAAATCGACCGATTAGCCCTCTCGGCTGTAACAGGCATATATGGCAGTACTTTTACTTTCGTTACTTGTACCGCCGGAACAAGTAAAAAGTACGTACTTTTACTTGTACTTCGTTACTTTTTAAATTTAGTACTTTTACTTGTACTTTCGTTACTTTTTTAGGGAAAAAGTACAAGTATTTGTAACGGAAATGTCGAATGAAATCGTTACTTTTTTCTAAAACTCGGTAAGC